AAAATTATTTGAAAAATTTATTTTTAAAAACTAAAAAAATTTGTTTGATTTTATTTACATATATATATATATATATTTGATATTTAATTTTAATATTTTTTATTTAATTAAATATATTTTTTATATTTAAAAGGAAATATTAAATTAAAAAATTATTAAAATAAAGTCATAAGGTTCTCACTTGAGGATGCTGAAAAGTTGCTGAAATAGCACACAGGGAGAGATGTGAGAATGCTGTAAAACTCTAACCTATTTCTTTTATATTTTTTATTTAATTAATTTATTTACAAGAATGTTGTTAATGAGAAATCTTGCAAATTTTGAAAAGAGAAATTAAAATTTAAAAATAAAAACACTTTAGAAGCTATTCTGTATTTTCCCTTTAAAAATTGAAAATAAAAATTTATTTTTAAAATTTAAATTAACAAACAAATTTTGAAGTTTTTAAATTTTAAAAATTAAAAACTCTTTTTAAGAAGGGGAAATAAACACCCCCTTAATCTTTAAACTTTTTTTTTTTGTTATGTTTATTCAATACTACAATTTATTTTTAAAAATTAAAAATTATTTTTAAAAAGAAAATCAAACATATTATGAGTAGTTTTATATTCTTTTTTTTTCTTTACTTCTTTCTTTTTTTCTCCCTCTCTTAATAATGAGTAAAATATTAATTAATCAGATAGAAAGAGTTTTGTTAATAAATGTCTAAACTTAAAAAATTTAAAAAACATATTTATTGTTTCAATTTTCATTTCTTTATTTCTGTGGGAACAAATATTAATAATTAACAATATTTTTAGAAGTTTATCATTAAAATTTAGTGGGCTTAATTGTAAACCGTCCTCACTCTAAAATGTGAGATAAACTTATAAAAACAATGTAAAATAAGGACCGCTAATTAAAAAAACTAACAGTTTATGAACGTTTTGTAATGTATATTTACAAATTTAGCCAACAATTATATTCTCGATTCTCGACCATAATAATTTTTGGCTGTAAAATTCTTGAAAACGTCATAACATTAACATGCCTTAGAAAAAAAAAAATATACCCTAAAGTTTTGTCCTTATCTTAGTTAGCTTCTGGCTTGAATTTAGAGGAGATATTTCAGAAAAAAAATGTGTTCTAGATTGCATTACATTTTTCAAAGTATTATCATTAAAAGAGGAATTTCATTTTATCAATAATAGAATCACTTGTCATCTTTGCGCAATCATATTTTATACTTTGGGTGATTTGGGACACTATGCTAAGATTTCCTATCCTCACCTCACAGCTGAAAATAATCCTTAATTACGTGTTGCTTTGAAGGGAAAAATTATAATTCTTTATGTATACTTTTATGACGATCCAAGATTAGAGAATCATGTCATGTGAAATTCCACATAACAATAAAAGTAATTATATAAAAACTTATGTTTATTTTTTTCATAAATATTAATTAAGCAAAATTTTATAAATATCAAGAAAAGTATACATACAAGTGCATAAAAATCAAACCCAAAAGTTTTTTTTTTTTTAATTAGTGTTTAACTATGTAAATGGGTTGATTATATCTATCTTTAAATAAACTCTAAGGATATTGATTAAGAAATAAAAAAATAAAAAATATAATAATATAATTTTTAATGAGCTCTTAACATTATTTTTAATAAAACAAATTATTAATTCTTTGGTTAACGTCCTTAGAACTAGTTAATATCTATTAAATTATCTCCAAATTAAGAGAATTTAAATTATATTAAACCCAGTTAAATTATAGGCTCAATTTTTTTATAGCGCGCTTTTTTCTTCTGTCCAAGAATCCTTTAAGACAAAATAACCGAGATTAACCTTTAAGCTGAAGATGGCGATGATCAGATAAAATTCTAAGTGTGTAGGTAAAGCTCACCTAAGTTCATAGAGCTCAGAATTCAACAATAACCAATGGATTGTATAAATGCACTCTTTATACCTATAATCCATTTCATGTTATTAAATGGTCTAATAAAGACACTTTCATTAAAAAAAGAAAAAGAAACTTACCTAAGCATTTTTCTAGTATGTATATATAGTTATTATATAATTAGTTCTTAAGATGTAGACCAACTGGACTTCACATTCTTCCAATTAATCGAATTTTCTATCAAACTACACATTTTCTATAGAAGATGGTGGTAGTCTTACTTGGCAAACTTCATGTATTCTTATTATAACATAATCCACTACTTGGTTAAATGGCACATTATCATCCACTAATAATTCAAAATGCATAGGAGTCTTGGCCCTTCCAAGCTTGTGGCTCTTGTTTATAGAATCCTCACACCCCAATTTGAGCATTTTAATTTTCTTTTTCTGTAGTGGTTGACTTGATCCAGTGCCTACTTTATATGCCATGCCAAATTGCCAAGCAAGTAGACTTGTACAGCTGCGCCATTATGAAGCAAAATTTTCCTAAGATTCATCTTAGTGGATTCTAAAGTGGTGCACAAAGCTCTTTAGGTAACACTAATTCATGCACACATTAATACATATCTGTATGTAACACCAATTCTTGCAACTTGTCAAATAATGTTTGTGTGACAGGTTATGTCAGGTGAAAGTGTGGTTTCAATTACGGTGTAACGTTGTGGTAGGGTTTAATCTTCTTTTTTTTTTTTTTCTGTTTAGAAAGAGAAGTTAGAGTAAATAAAGTTGTAAGAAATTATGTTGTTTTAAAAAAATAGCTTAATTAAAAATATTTATTATACTTTTATAACTTTAATATAATAAATGTTTTATTTTAGTAAAAAACTTATTACTTTTAATTATGTAGGATCTAAACATAATCCTATTTAAAATACATTTTATATTTTTTTAATTATATTTCTACTGCTTCTTTTCATTCTTTAATCTTAAGATCTAAACATATTCAACAAATTTTAGCTTAAAAGTAACTTTAGTTTATAAAATTGTAAAATTATCAAATAATTTTAACTTAAAGTTAAAGCTTTTATTTTTAACTTTAATTTTAAAGTAGCATTTAAACTCTAAAAAAGCCAAGTAGGTCAAATGATGCATTTGTGTATCATTCAGAAAATGGTTCCAGTCCTGGGCATTAAGCAGCGGAAAATTTAACTCATTAAATTAGAATAATCACATATGTAAATTTTTATAATTTTGCAATGTATTCTTAATAGAAATTATTCAATGTTAAAAGGAATATATAAATGTTATCTTTTGATTTAAAAATTTGATAATTAAAAAATTAATGAACTTGATTTAAATTTTATCATTTTTAAGATTTTAAAATATAATATATGTCATAATCCAGATGAGACAAAATGAAAACAAGCTTCTTAAACACATAAAAAGAGAGCAAAGAATAAATCAAGCATTTAATAACGTAATAACATTGTCCTCCCTTTACACTAATGCGGCACAAAAAAAAGTAACTCATCTTAATTTATTTTTTCACTAAAAAATGCTAGCAATATTTTTTAATTATCTATTAAAATTTATTAAAAATCTCAAAAAAATTATATATGGGTCTCCATTTATATTTTATTGCACAACTAGAAAATGTTGATTTTAACACTTTTTTTAAAAAACGAGCAACAAGCAAATTATTTTGCTCAATTAGTTTGTTGCCCATTGTACACGGAATCCTCTTCATCTATCTCCAAGCGTAAAGAAAGATTTTTGGCTTCTTACCTTCATTTTCCTCACTTCTCCTTTCTTTAAGCATGCGTTTAGTTTTATTTAAAAACTTGACTATGGAAAATAAAAAAGTTTCGGTAAAAAATATTTGCTATTTGAAAAATGTTTTTCAATTATATGAACACAACTTATTCAAAAGACGTTCTACATACACCTTTCTAAGGTTATAACTTAATAAATTTAGCTATAATAATATTTTTTATTAACAAATATAACTAAAACATGTTTCTACAAATTTCATAACAGCCCAAATATTGGATAATTGAAATTTTTTGTGAAACACTTTTACCCTACAAATTAAGTTGTTGCATTAATTTTCATAAAACATTATTTTTTCATTAAAAAGTTAGGTGTAAAATTAAGAGACGAACAGATTAATGTACTGGATGCTTTATAATTTATAAAAATTCTTATATTTATAAAAATACATATATAATTTTTCTGAGTCAAGTCCGTTATTATAATACTAACATAAACTATAATCCTAATAAATCTATTATAATTATTCATAATATTTTTCCTTAAATTGAAACATAGATATTAATAATGTCCAGCTTGTTATAAATATAATTGCTACTAACAACTTAATTTGTAGATTATTACAAAACTCTACACGAGCTCTTTTTCCATTAGTTTTCCATGCATTAAGTTACACTAATTAATAAGATTACTCTACAATTTGAAGACCATGAGTTCTACCCAAGTTCAGCTTTTGGCGATGGAATTTTTCTGGTGTTACATTAACTACGCTTGGCGAACAAGTAGAGTGTGCCATTAAACTTTGCGTAACACTATCAAGTGAAGTAAAAAATGTACCAATGAGTGAGTGATGTGGTGGACCTACCGATTATCCCCACTACAATGCCATGAAATGAATTGAATATTATGTAATATGGAGAACTTAATAAACAAATTATGCAGATTTCCCTTTAGTTGTTGCATGATCATATGATGCTGCAAGAATCTCCTAATTATTCTTCAAAAATATTTTAAAAATCGTGGGACCATAGGGAATTGTTGCTTTGCTTATGCCATTCCTTTTATCAAAGATGAAACACAGAGTTAGTCCTTTCAGATAATGTTAAATGTGAAAGTGGTCGAGGTTCTTGTAATCAAAGATAAATAAGAAATCTATGTTCCACAATATCATAATTAAAAATAGAACATTAACCTCAAGATAATGCCAACACTCTTCCTCTATATGACGTTTGTCTTAGCTCAATTATGCGTAAACTATTGTTTATCGTATTATCACCACACCTCACTATGATCATATATATATAACATTTGGGGTAGCCACCATCAGCACAAAATATAGAAACCAAAACCTGAGAGCACAAAACCATGTTGTCACCAACTTCACACTTGCCAATTTTAATCCTCCTGTTATCAGTTTCATTGGCAGCTCCAGCTTCAATTGATGAAAATTTTGTCCAATGTCTCAGCTTCTATTCAGACAAAGCAGCTCCATTTTATGCATCAATTTACACTCCAAAAAATGCTTCATTTACCAACTTCCTTCAATCCTCTGCACAGAACCTAAGGTATTTGGTGCCTTCAGCACCAAAACCTGAGTTTATATTCACACCCTTGACAGATTCTCATGTCCAACTGGCTGTGACATGCTCAAAGAAACTTGGTATTCATCTGAGAGTACGAAGTGGTGGCCATGACTATGAAGGACTCTCGTATGTTTCTGAAGTTGAAAGCCCTTTTATCATAGTTGATTTGTCTAAGCTTAGAGCCATCAATGTTGATATTGATGACAACAATGCTTGGATTCAAGCTGGTGCCACTATTGGCGAAGTCTATTATAGAATATCTGAGAAAAGTGCAGTTCATGGCTTCCCTGCAGGCCTTTGCACAAGCTTAGGCATTGGGGGGCACATTACAGGTGGTGCATATGGATCCATGATGAGAAAGTATGGCCTTGGAGCTGACAATGTCTTAGATGCAAGAATAGTTGATGCCAATGGCAAAATCCTTGATAGGGAAGGCATGGGGGAAGACCTATTTTGGGCTATTAGAGGAGGTGGAGGAGCAAGCTTTGGTATCCTTCTTTGGTGGAAGATAAAGCTGGTTCCTGTGCCAGAAACTGTGACAGTTTTTACAGTTACAAAAACTCTAGAGCAAGATGCAACCAAGGTTATTCATAGGTGGCAGGAAGTGGCACCCTATATTGATGAGGATCTCTTCATCAGAGTCATCATCCAACCAGCTACAATTGCAAACAAAACTGAGAGAACTATCACAACTTCTTACAATGCTCTCTTTCTTGGTGGTGCTGAAAGACTCCTCCAAGTCATGAAGGATAGTTTTCCTGAATTGGGCTTGACCAAAAGAGATTGCTTGGAAACTAGCTGGATAAAATCAGTGCTCTATATTGCTGGTTATCCAAATGATACTCCTCCTGAAGTTCTTCTTGACGGGAAATCAACATTCAAGAACTACTTCAAAGCCAAGTCAGATTTTGTGAGAGAACCAATACCAGAAACTGGGCTTCAAGGATTATGGCAAAGGTTGCTAGAAGAGGATAGTCCTTTGATGATTTGGAACCCATATGGTGGAATGATGAGCAAATTTTCAGAATCTGATATTCCCTTCCCTCACAGAAATGGAACACTTTACAAAATCCAGTACTTATCTCTTTGGCAAGAAGGGGATAAGAATGCCTCAAAGCATATAGATTGGATTAGGAAGCTTTACAACTACATGACTCCTTATGTGTCTAAGTTCCCAAGGGAAGCATATGTGAACTATAGAGATCTTGATTTGGGAATGAACAAGAAGAACAGCACAAGCTACATACAAGCAAGTGCTTGGGGCAATATGTATTTCAAGGATAATTTTAACAGGTTGGTGAAAATAAAGACCAGAGTGGATCCTGATAATGTGTTCAGGCATGAGCAGAGCATTCCACCGCTTCCAGTTTCAAATATGAGGCTAAAAGACAAGAAATGTAAGACATGGGAATAAGGCATTGTATCGCTAGTCATTGGGGGGGGGGGGGGGGGGGGGTTTCTATAAATTTGTTATGGGGTTGATTAGCTAATCTAGATGAATAAAAGATACATTTGAATTTTGTTCTGTTTTTGGTCATTTTAATGTTGTAAAACACTGTGATTATTGTGTGTGTGACACAAGATTACAGGGGACAAGTGTTGTTTCGCTAGCAAAAGCTGTGTATCTATAGTTAAGGTCTTTTTGTAAGGATCTGGGTCTCTTAAATACCATACATACTCAAGTGTGACACATGGCATGCACATTTTATTTACAAAGGAACTTAGCAATCTAGTCCTGCTTCTCTTCCAAAACATTCACCGTCTATATATTATGTAAACATAGACATGATGCTAAAGTTTACAAACTCTCCAATGATGGACTTATGCTTATAATTTTTCTCGTCCTGAAAAAAACATCAAAATAAGCATACCAAAGCAAAATGACAGAAAAAATTGTTTTTGCTTGTTATTTCGATAAATTTAAAATCAGTTCCTTATAAATTAAACTTTTGGTGTTAATAAGAATATGTTAAAGAAATTGTTTCTAGCACTTTTTTAATGAAATTTTTATAATTAAAAAAACTTTGTAAGTCCATATAGGTTGGCGGTGCTCAGAATTCTTAGTGAATATGTACAATACCTAGTCATTTTGTCCTATCTTCGCCTGTCATTGCACGGTAACGACATTTAAATATGGGTTGATTTGTGGAAATATTTTGTTTTTCTTTTAATTTATAAAAAAATGGTTTTTGGCATTATTTTCTATGCAAATTTTTAAAACAAAAAATAACCCAAAAATGCTTTACAAATGTATTTTATTTATTTTCACTTAAAATTATAAATGCAATGAACAACATATTTTAAGTTTTTTAGGAATTATTGTCCTTTAATTGTTATATATTTAATTGTTTTTAAAAATAACTATAAAAAACTAATCATAAAATATAAAAGATGTTCTTAAAAAAAAGTTAGGTGCAGAAAAGCGTTATTGTCTGAAAGTCATTTCCACGACCGTAAATGGTAGCCCACACCAACCCTTCGTAGCCAATAAAGATATTAACGGAAAATAAAGAACTGAAGGTATAGCAGAAAGGAATATTCACAAATAGGTGAGTTTTCCATCATAAATATGATACAATAAATGAATTTTCACATGATGTTAATTGTAGAACTTCTGCACCACAAAATTGACAAAACATGGCACGCTAACCCCCCAGAAAACATCATTGATTGAGAAGTAAAATAAATTAGATAAACAAAAGCAGGAGATCCTGAATTTACTATTATTTTAACCAACGAACATGTGCTATTCTTGACAGTAATTTACATACTCTTTGCATCCACTTTCGACGGAGGAAGTGTTCCAAAAATTTTATCCCATAGTGATGAAGTAATCCCAAAGCCTTTATCCTGGATTCGAAAGTGATGATTCAAGTGGTACTTCTGCAGAAAAATGGGAGAAAAAAGATAATTAAACTTGCATGGCTTACAAGATGGAGATAACTGCCAATATATGATAGTCGCAGAAAAGGTGCAACATAAAACAAACGAAACTGGACAGCAGAAAATGAGCAACGCTTGGCAGGAGTAGAAATGCTAGCAAGTAGCAACACACTTTTGTCCAACGGGTGAAACCTAGTGTCACTCTTAAATGTTTATTGTCATTCATAGGTGATTTTTGTCTAAAATACATCTATTATTAATAGAAAAAGTTATTTTAGATTAAAAAAAAAACTTAAATAAGAGTGACAACAGTCACATAAAATTTGCAACAGACACTCCCGTAAAAAATAGTGGGGTCCCACTGGGTCCTACTTATTTAATGAGTCTTGTGCGAATTTTCAAGAATACGCTGAAATATGTGAATCATAATCCCCTGCTGATTTTGCATATTCATTAGGTTTCTTAGTTTACGAAGTTTGCTCTAGAAAAAATATTTGGGGTTGAGGAGGAAAAGTTAGTATTTACAAATGGGATAATAAAATAAAAAGAATGTCCAAATTACACCTGGTGAAATAAACAACTATTTTCTTTTTTAGTAATTTATACTAGAACAAGATATTTTGCTTATCAGCAAGTTAATGGTAATTCACAGTGCTTATACCTTGAGATGCCGGGGCACTTCAGTCTTTGGCTGACCATGGTGCAAGTAATAATGAGTGCAATCATACATTACATAACCCAATAAGCCGCCTCCAAACAAAGCAGGAGCAGTTGAAGGGGTGGATAAGAGCTTTACCAAGTTCCAGAACTGGACACAGTCACACAGCAGACAAAAACACAAGCATCACTTCAAGGAACCATAAACCTAGTGTGCAGAATTTCTCTCTAAATTTTAGCAACATTGACACATCCGTATTGCAGACTAATCATATAACTCCATAAAGTCAAAAAGTATTCTGCCCACTTTCAAAAAGAAAGCTAGAAATTGCGGTATTCATGGCCGGAGCCTCTGTTGTGACTTACAGCAAAGCAAATCTAAGAAAGAATTTCCGACTCTCTGAAATTTCTACCACAGATTCACAGAATAAGGTTATCAATTGTCCTTAAACTATTATTTGTGGCACAACTATTAAAAGATCTCTTCAAACATAAAACAAAATAAATTTAAATCTTACAATTCTCTTTTCATTTCAATAAAGTGTGGGAAAATGCAGTATATAATATGACAGAAAGGAGATACCGGCATCAATAAGATAGCTGTAGCAGCAGGGGGGAAAACAAGTCTCAAGCCATCCATGGGATGTTTATGGTGGCAGCCATGGAGAAGATAATGCATGGTATTTCCCCTAAAGCAACATCCAGAAAAAGGAAATAAACTTTCAGAAAAAGTAGATATAGTTAAAGACAAGTACAAGCAAAAAATTAACATATGGTTTCACACTAAGGAAAAAAAAAAGGAGAAGAGAGAGATCTAACCAGTAGGTCTTTGTTTTAATGTGGAAAAGAAAACGGTGTAATGTGTATTCAAGCAATGTCCAAATGAAAATGCCAAGAACCACCAATAGAGCTACGGGAGGACAACTGAGGCCCATCCTTATAGAGTTATATATAGACCAACATACAACTGGCAGCCAGATGGTTGGTATTGCCCACCAGACTGTGCGCGTCAAGAACTGGTCCAAGTAGTAACAAGTCAGAGAAACAGAAGAAATTTTTTCAATGTATCATCAGAACCAAAAATAAATAAATCTTCATCACTTTGTAATGCACTCAATGTTAAAAGGATTGAACATTGTATCACATTCTTAAAATTAACATGCTTATCAAATTCAAAGGAAAACTTTATCAGAAACCTATGAAACCAGTAATGCTCTATGCCAGTAAATGTTGCACAGTGATGAGACAAGAGGAGCCAAACATAACTCTGGTGGGGATGGGAATGCCGAGGTGAATGAGTACAAAACTAGAATAGTCAGGAACTTGGGGAGAAAGTTCCATTAGCAACTATTTAGGACAAGATGACTGAAACTCATTTAATGAAGTTTAACCATGTGAGAAGACCAACAGAAGCTTCATGAGAAAATAGATCAAGTGGAACATGGTCATATTATGATATTGAAAAAGCAGACAATCTACCAAAAAAAACAAAAAAAGACAAACCATTGAAAAAGACCATGCTCTAAATGGATTTGCTAAAAACTTGACTTACGATAAAGCCAATGGCACCATTTAGTCCATCTAGCCAACCTCACTCAGAGAGGCAAGGCTTGGTTGTTATAGTTTTAGCACTTGTTGAAGAACATACCTCCAGAACATCATTTTCAAAGAAACGGGGGCCTTCCTTGCTAACGATAGGCTGGTGAACCCACTCTTCATAAGCTTCTCCAAGATGTCCAACCTATAAAACATTGAAAATTTGGTCAGATTCGATGAGATTACTTGGTATACATATTACAAACTATCCAATTGTTATCTCAAGTCTCAACCAAAGATCATACTCCATACATAAACAGAAACAAGACCTATATGACAACTGAAATCAACTGCAAGACAAAACATGGAGAAAGTGTTTGAAAGAAGATCTCGAGGGGTTTTGCCTTTACCTGGAAAACAAGGGGCTTATTCAAATCAACTACAAAGTTCTGGGCAACCATCTTGGGACTGAATTTGAGGGGGAAAAAAGTGTTAGCACTTAGCAATAAGTAAGTTCAATGATGAAAACAAAAATGTTACAAACTTACAATTATAACAAGCATAATGTGCTTCGGTCACTACATGGGCCAGGAAATTGTCACCAATATTAATTAATTTTACCTTTAGATGGCATTGATTTTAACTTTTTCGTGCAGGGAAAGTGCTAGGGAACACAATTGTAAAATAAGAATAAGGAAACAATTTATTATCGACAACATTATTGGGTTATAGTGCCACATAGCAAAAAGGTTACAATTATCATTGCTTCAGGCAAAAGCTTACGTGGGGGTTTCTCTAATCACTGTTTCACGCTGCAGACTCGCAAAAATTACGATAGAATGCACCGTATTATATAAAATAAACGGACCCATATCACCCTTATTATCTAGCGACCAGAGTCATTTTCATCCAACTAAAAACATGCTACCCTTCTTAGCATCAACATCAAAGACAAAGCAAGCAATTATTTCACATGCATAAATGACACCAAGATTTATAACCTATGAACTAAAAACTGAAAAATAAGTTTAAAAAAAAAAGTCTCGAAAACAAAATTAATTAATTAAAAAAATTATCATCCGCATCATTTCTCAAAGTACGGATAGCTCCAAGGAAAACGAATTCTCAAAATCAACACGTTTGTGCGATTACAAAACAGAAATCTGAGCTCAAATCCACAAACCGATCGACAATGCCATCAATCAGCATGCATCTACGGATCCTATTGAGCATCAAATTGAAGCGGCAAAAAGGCTGAAATTAGTTCAAACAGAAAGAAAAAAAAAACACATTAAATTCATTTTTAGCAAATAAACTCAGCATGTGACAATGCCGGAAACACAGATTTGCAATGCGTAACCATAGGCAAAACCAGATCTAGCAATTACAAACGAATAGAGAAAAGTAACCTAGCGGAAGCAGAAGACGATGCGGTGAGATCAAAATTCAAATCAAAGCGCGTGTTTCTCTGACCGAAGGAGAAGAAGCACCGCACGCATCACCTTCACCGCACCGTGCCCTTCTCCAAGTCGCGCTTTGGAAAGGGATAGAGGAGGGAGCGCGTTGTGTTGGGGTGATGCCAGTTTACGAAGCATATGAGAGAGAATCTTGATCGTTCGTTTCCCCGGCATCAACGAATATCTCTCTTCGCGTTGGATTCTAGCGCTTGACAGCCTGGAACTGGGGCACGATCTTCTGCGACAACGTCCACGTGAGCCTCACAGACTTTGCATGCAGTTATGATGACGTGGCGAGATTCTATTTGAGTCAATTAAGCAAAGTTTGTGATTAGTGTGCAGACTTGTTTCTTGGACGTTGTTAGTTTTTTTCTGGTGGGACCACCCGAATCTCGACAGGTCAATGTGATCACTTGAGATATTTCAAAGTTTGTTCAATTATTTTTAAAAAGTTCTTTCAAGTTGGGTTTATTTTTTATGAGTGAATATTATTATATATTTAAACTAAATTAATGATAAATAATTTATTATTTTTATTTTATATATAATTTTTAAGGGATTATATTCTATTATTTGTATTATTATAAATTAAATGTTAACTAATATAATTATATATATAAAATATAGTTTAAATATAAAAATGTACCAAAAAAAACTTTTAATGGTAGTGTATGAAACACTTTCCTTTTTCAAAGTAGATCACAGACTACGGGTTTGGAAGAATTGGTACCATTGTGCAAAATTAAATAATGTTGAGTAATGGATATTTTTATTATTATTATTATTATTTAAATTATATTACTTTTTATTTTAAATAATTTTTTAAAATTTATTTAAATTTTTATTTTGATTATTTTAGCGTAAGTTGTGAACAAGTTCGGTATGAATTTTTTACTTCCAGCATTTATTAATAATTAATTTTGAATTCTATTGTTGACTTTAAAACTTAAAAAAATGATAATAATTCAGTCAAAGTTTCTAAAGTTGTTACTATTTTAAAATATTTCGTATTAAAAATTAACAAATTGATAATGTAATATTTAAACTTTACTGTACCTTAAAAGTGATAAAAAATAAAAATACTCTGAAGAGAATTGTTTATAATATTTACCATCAAGTAAAAAAAATTATATTAAAATAAATAAAAATATTTCATATTTTATTTCTAAAATTTGAGTATAATTTTTAAAAATAACGTGAAGACAACTAATAAAAGTTTATCCATTTAAGTAATCTCAAATGATAAATTTACTCATCATATCTAAGTAAACTGGATAGGAAACTAAAAAAAAAATTAATAGAATCATTATTTAGTTATATTTATCTTTAAGAATTAAAATTGATTGAAGATAATATATAAATTACATTTTTTTATTACAACTAGTTTAATTTTTATTTATTTTTTGTAATTTTAATTTTAAAATTCATAGTTTTTACTTATTTTTTATTATCATATATAATTTTTTATATTTTTCATATATACTCATATTTATACAGAATATATATATATATATATATTGTTTAAAAACTTTATACAATATAAAAAAATTATATATATAATTATTAATTTAATAAAAAATTTATTATATTGTATAAAAACTTAATTTACTACATGCTTTTAGATATTTTATTATTCATACTTTTTATATTATAATTACATGCTAATATTATAATTATATTAATGTATTTATTTATTTTATTTGTATAATAGTTGAATAATAGTCAAAATTCAATCAATTATCATTTAATATGCTCACTTAATTTTTAAGTTAATTTCCTTTTTAAAAATTCATGCTTCTCGCAAGATACAATTATTTGGAGTAGTATTTAGTATACTGAAAGTCTGAAAGGACCAAAAACAAAATAAAGTATAAATACAGGAACCAAAATCACAACGAAAGAAATTTATTAAATTCAAAATATAAACTTATAAAATTATAAGAATAAAACATTAAACTTCTAAATTTCACGAGTGTATATTATCATACTTATATATTTATTTATTATCACTTTAATTTTAAAAAATATATAAAATGTGATTGTAATTGATATAATTACAAAAGGAAAAAATATTTTAAATAACAATCACTTTAAAAAAACAATAACAAAAACAAATTTGATAATAAACACACTTAATTCCATTTAAAAATTGATACAATAGAATAGGTTATAAAAATTAGATAAAAATATAATGAGATAAGAATATATATGTTATTATTTTATTTTATGTTTGATATATTTTTTTTCTATTTTTAACTGTACCGATCTGATAATCTTGATGGTATAATATTAATTAAGATGCGCAGCTAAAATAAATTGACCCAAATTGCACTAGCTAGCTTCAGCTATAAATACATGTGTGGTGATCATCACTACCCAACAAAACATGGACAAGTCTTTGGTTAAGCTTGGTTTCATTGTGGTCCTCTTGACATTTTTTTCAGGTAATTTCTTATTTTTTATTAGACCTGAATTACTCTACATTTCAATAAGAAAAATATTCATATTAGAAAAATTCTATAGAATGATAAATATTTTTCAAATGCTTTTTCATTTTAATTTACTAAAAATCAGTGGAATTTAGTGTTGATAAAATTGTAATTTTAATTTAACCATGTAACAGTTATATTTTTGAAGTAATGGTTAGCATATATACCCTTATAGTCATAATTTCATCAGAGCTGGGTTATTGAGATCAAAGAATGTTTTTTCAGTTTTGCAGTGTGAAGGTAGAGAAGACCCAAAAGCAAGAATTGATCTGAATATACCGTGCGATTCTGACTATCAATGTCTTCTCTGTCCTTGCATTAATGGTCACTGTCGTTGTGATCTGAAGCTGGAAGAAGAAAATTCACAGTCCATTCAAGATGTCCCAAAAGATTTCCCTTGACTATGATTATTCAGTATTCGTTAAAAAATAAATGTTATATTAGAGCTTATAAATATGTGAAGTGATGTCTTTTTTTTATGAAAGTAATATTTTTTTATGTTAAGTTCTTAATTTTTTTAGATTTATTTCTTCATTTATTTAAATTATTAGGATTTAATCTTGTCATTAATTTTTCTTTATTAAAGAATGAGTCGGATCTAATGAATTGGATATCAGAAATTCAAATCATAGTTAATTTTATGAGGAGAAATTATATAAAAAAACGGTTGAATTCAAGAAAAAAGAAAAATTAAGAGAAAAAGAATATAAAAAAAATTATTAAAAAAGAAAAATGTAATTACAAGAGTGATTAAAGGATGGTTTAATTTCTTAACCAAAATATTTTGCATATGACACATAACCAATTGCTGCTTCAGCACCATAAGATGCACAAATTACAAATGTTCAACAATGAGACCAAAGTCTCTCTCAATATTTAATCATTTTTTTATTCTCTATCTTTGTAATTTAAATATATTCTTATCTTTATATTTTATTTTACTTTTTTATTTAGTTTACTAAAAAAATGTTAAATATTTATATTTTTTAATTTAGAGCGCGTTAATGAGAGAAACTAAAAATAATTAATTCAACAATAAAGTCTAAGGACTAAACCAACCCAAAAAAATAGTAAAATGAATGAGAAATAGTTTTTAAGCAATTTTTATGAAGAAAGAGAAAAATATAATATAAAAATACAGCACAAGTATAATGAAAGAAATTGTATAAATAAAAAAAATCCAAAATAACCGACAGAAATGATACTAGGTAGCTGCAGCTATAAATCAATGTACTGTGAGAGACAGGGCACAAGATTTCATGAACAAACATGGACAAGTCTTTGGTTAAGCTAAGTTTCTTTGCTCTCCTCTTTGTATTTGCTTCAGGTAATTTCTTATTTTTCAGTAGATGCTTCATCAACCTCTTTCTTATTTTTTTCATTACCAAGTTATTTGAAGTATGCAACTATTGTGTTTTAAAATTAATGATTATCAGTTCAATTATTGAGAACAAAAGCGCATTTCCAGATTTGCAGTGTGAAGGTAAAGAAGATTCAAGAGAAGGAAGGAACTTTGTTGTAACGTGCCAGTCTAAGTATGAATGCCCTGGTTGTCGTTGCATTAAGTTTCACTGTGTTTGTGCTCCCAAGCTCCAAGAAGAAGAAGCTTCTGAGTCCATTGCACATGTTCAGAAAATGCTCCCTTGACTGTAATTAATCACTATTAATCAATAAATAAATGTTATTATACATTCTAGCTTATCAATATGTGCATTGCCTGCTGTTTAATAAATAAATGTTACTGTAAAATGCCATGATCCGCTAATTTTTATTTTCAGATATCACGATAAAATGTAATTTTAAACATGTTTAATATTTATTTTAATTATTACATTGTTTGCACTATTTGTTTTAATCACTGATAGAATATTTAATTCATAAATAAAAAAGACACGATTTAAAAGGAACAAATAAACATAAAATTATAATTGCTTAAAATGTAATTTAATCTACTAAATTTAAAATAATCATTTATAGCATATAACCATGCCTTTTATGTCATATTTATCAATTAATTTATAAAATATTACTGATTAGAAATTATCTCAATAATTTTTATTTTAAAAATATATATATTTTTTCAACATTTTTAAATTAACTATAACAAATTTAAACTACAAAGGCTATAACATGTATTGTAAAAAGAAAAAAATTGTGGGACTAACAATTCAC